TCTCTTGCTAAACTTTCTACACTCGTTGCTCTCCTTCAGTATGCCCTCTTTTTTTACACTTTGCTTCAAATTCCCCAATTCCGGCAACAGGTTGGGCATCAAACCACTTTATCTGACGACCTGTAGGAGCCACCTCTGATTTCTCCAAGCATAAACCCTCTTCTGTATGCGTCTCAAGTGCTCCGCATGACAGGAACTACCGCACGAGCACAAAACCGCATGTCAACCTGATCGGCAGAAGACGTCTGACGATCGTCCAGAAGAAGGCATGACCGAGGCAAGTATCAGTTCTTCTTTCCACATAAAGACACTTCACGACTGGATGAAGCCATTTCACTTTTATGAGGTTGGATAGAGTCGGATGGTCTCCTTGACCGAGTGTTTGCATGAGACTTTGACAAGAATGAGTTCTAGCTCTGATGATGTTCACGATTTGATGGGCGAAAGGTCACTCAGTTTTCGCCCGTAGTGAGAGCGAATGTCTCGTGGACTGCGTCAACCTGAACGTGGTATGAGATGCCAAACGGCTGCAGTACAACGAGATTTATCCGTCCTCATCTGATGAGATCGAGCAACGAATCTCTTGTGTAGAAGTTGTTTGATCTTGTTTTCGCAAATCGGTCTTATTGGTAGGATGACTTAGAGGAAAATACCTAGTCCGGGGTCCATTGTGTGCACCATCATTTTGAGAGTAGGACCGTGGACGTTTTGCCGGCATCGTCAGTCAGTCTCGCCATTCGTAGCACCATATTACCACTCGTCAAAGAGAATAGGTGCATTCCTCTAAGTCTTCCTACCAGCATGATTGAGTTGCGAAAACAAAATCAAAGAAAGTCAGGCATTTTTCATATCACATTCTCTGTTGGGAGTGTCGATAGAGCAAGCTTAAATTTGCCACAGCAATTGACGATATTACTTTTTTCGTGAGTGAGTAGGCTGTCAAGACTCGAAAACCTACTTACTTACGAAGAAAATGACTTTCTATGCCCTAGTCTCTTTGTGTCAATCCGCAAATGTTGTGGTACTACTTGCTTTGATTAGGCTCATTAAAGATGTCTCCTCTTGGCTTCTGATTGTTTCTTTCTGGCCCCCTTGCGTTTTCTTTTCCTAAAATTAAGGATATTACCTTGATCCTGTCGTCTTATTATTTTTTATCTTTCTGTTTCCTGGTCTTCTTCGAAAATATTTAGGCAATATGCGAAGATTCCATTGATCAAGCCCTCTTCAAGTATCCTGTTCATTATATTTCTCTCGGTCAGTATTTCGATGGCCTCTCGGATCTTGCGCATTCTCGTATTTTCACCAAATGCTGCCAACCTTTCTGTCGATTTCCAGTTGATTTCGTGCCCCGTCCGTTCAATGTGTTCCGTTATTTCGGATCTTTTCGTATCCATTTCGTGTCCTTTTCCTATCCATGTTCGTGCAGAGTCTTTGATGTTTTTTGATTCGTGGACCGATCTATCTTCCTGTTTCACCAGGTACCGCCCGAAGTGAGAGGGAAAGTCTTGTGGACTAGGTCAACCTGAACGTCGTCTAAGAAGCCAAATGGCTTCAGTACAACGTAAATCATCCGTCGTCTTTTGATGAGATCCACATACAAATCTCTTCTTCATACACTTTCGTGGGAAATGAAGGTCTCCCAACAAGATTGGCTGATGAGATTCATCGAAACCCATTTACTCTTTTTATCTGAAACCAACAGATCAAAGAACATCTTGAATGCAACGAATGGGTGTAAAAAGGTGGTCAAGAGTTAGCATTGGCTACTGAATAGAATTATGAAGTGATGGAAAGGTGAGTGAATAGAAAAAGAGACTACGCGTGTGGGAATGTGTGTATGTGTGTGTGATAGAGAGAGAGAGAGAGAGAGAGAGAGAAACTGAAAGCGAGGCAACAGGAAGAGTCGGCGAATAAGAGCAGTTTGTTGAATCAGACGATGTACGTCACGACGGGCCTGGAGAGACGAAAGCTCTGCTCACGCAAGCTGGTGACATGTAGGCCTCTTGTCACAATCCAACCCTTTTTCGGCGGCCGGTGCGGCCAAATGACGACTCGTTTCCACCCGCCTGCCGACGCCAGCCTCACAATTCACGACTCGGTATCGAATGTAAACTGTGGCCTCCAGCCCGGCCAGGATGAGATGCAAAAGCAAAATGGCGTCGTCGTTGTCGTAATCGACAACAACCGCATTGAACCGCCTCGAAAGAGTCGCCATCAAATGGACACGCAAGAAGAGCGTCACTTGGACGGTCGGCGTTGAGACGTTGCGAACGCAGCGACTTCGGCCAAGTGCCTCTTCGGTTCGAGTCGGTGGCGAGTCGCCCGACCGACCGACCGACCGACCGACCGACCGGACACGGCAGACACGTCGAGCAAGCATTCCACGCTCGAGCTCACCTTTTGCAGATGCGTCTTGTCCATGCTCTCTCGCATCACCGCCTTCAAGTATTCCGCGTTCACCTCCACCAACTGTATCAAAATGTCCGCCTTGGCCAACTTGGCCGACGCCAAGTCACGCTCGGCTGGTGAAGAGTGTCCGACCGACTGGAAAAGAAAAGAATAAAAGAAAGACCCGCGTCAAAAGGACCATGGTGCAGACACAACAATCGACGCCCCATCACAACCGATCGGCCGAGGCCCGTCTCTGTTGCCGTGGCGATGGGATTGTTCGCTGTCACTGCGTCGAGGCTGGCACCAGCACGTCTCGGAGGGAGGACGTGAAATGGCCGATCAGGTACAGATTGTGGCACCAGTTGGCATCTGCTTTTGCCGGACGACTCTTCGTTGTCCGCGGTCGTGACGGTTTGCGGCGATGGCAACAGGCGAGGAAAAAGAAAGCAAAAGATGCCGAAAGAGAGACCCACTAAAAAGGGGTGCAAGTGTGCAAAAAGAAAGGCGGTAGCGCAGTTGGTGTCGCCACTTGCCTGCTTCAGCGGAAGAGACCAAGTCGTCCTGTTCAGCGCCGACTCGGCGAGGAGGACAGCCACGTCGGCTGCCTGGCAGGCGGCCGTCCACAGGCAGCAGGCCTGCGAGGGATGCGAGCTGCCCGTTCGCAGATTGACCAGCTCCGGTTGGGGCGAGGGGGGAAGAGGGAAAGAGGGAAAGGGAGCGGATTGAGGCCCGATTGGCTGCTTGCCAAGAGGCCGTCCAACCGAGGCCAAGTCAGCCAGACAGACTTGCATTTTGTGTAAACGTGTGTCATTCAGATTAATGCATTCATTCGAGGGGACACACACACACACACTTGGGCCGAAATGGGACCACTTTTCGTCCATCTTCTGATGCACACCATCACAACTGGAATACATTCTCGCCAGTGTCCAGCTGACAAGCATCAAGTCAACAAGACTGACCGGCTCTATCTTACCTCTTACAAGCTATTAAATATAAACAAGGAAAATGTATAAACATAAAGAGATGGGAAATGGTTAGAAATTAATACCCAGCACACACACACACACACACACACACACAAGTAAAAGTAACATGATTGATATGAAAGATGATGTATGTAAAAAAAAGTTTACTTCATTGTTGTTGAGCCTGCCTACACTTCGAGCAAAAGTGTTTGGTGCATAAATTCCAGAGTGCAACCGAGCAGGAGACGACGGCGGATACCTCTTGACCAGCTGTCGAATGGCTCTACTGGAACATTCTGGTTGGCGCAGTCTCCGCCCATCGTATGATGGTCAGCATTAAGTATCCGATGTTGTCGTTCATGCAATCAACGAAAGCTTGGCACGTTTTCATCGGAAGCAAAAAAGGTTGCAATAAAGCCAATCGACAGCAGATCGAGAGGGAAATCTGTAGTCGTCTTGTGGTCAAAGCGACCCTTGAATTTATTCATCAAACACTTTCACTCAAAATGGAAGTAAGTTCAACGATTTGGAAAGATAATTATCAAACTATTCCATATCTATTTATGCCTATACATTTTCTTTTATCACTTAAGACTATGCATAAAAAGTAAGTCTTCTTGACCGAGTTTTAACGTACGACTTTCCAAAGAATGAGTTTCAACTCTGACGATCTGCGCGATTTGATGGAGGAAGGTTCAGCCCGTTTCCACCCAAAACGAGCGAGGAGGTCTCGTGGACTGCGTCAACCGGAACGTAGTACTAAAGCCAAAGAGCTGAGAACAACGTGATTCATCCGTCCTCTTCTCGTGAACCCGACCTCCGAATCTCTTCTTCATGCACTTTCATATAAAATGGATGTGTCCCCAAAAGTAGCATCTTGTTAAAAAGTTCAGGATTTTGTGGTCGGAAGACAATTGTCCAAAAGATCGCCTTCACTTGTATCTTTGACCAGTTGTAGCTCGGCTGGTGAGAATGGCCAGACTCACTGACGATGCCAGTGAATCGTGTGGGAATGTACCAAGTCCACGGTTCGAATGATCATGCATATTGTGGACTGTGAAAAAGACGCACTCGTCAACGTCTTCTTGTCATTTTGACATGATAACCCAGTTATTCCTCGTATTTACCGTGAATACAGTTCACAATGAGCCAATGAGCTAATAACC